TAATAACAAGTTACGGGATCATTTTTTTTGCCTTCTGAATAAATCTTTTATTTAAATATTTTGATATCAATAAATCCTAAATTTAATAAACATTAACATAAACCATTTTTTTATTATATATATTTTTTTATTCTACTTCATTTATCTTTCTCTAAAATTCAATAGCTATATATAATTTATTAGAATATTCCTGTAGTAATCATAGTTATATCGCATATAAATATGACCATCGGACAATGAGAATACGTATGCAGCTTTAAAAGTTAAGATAAAAGCGATATTGAAGTAGAAGAATTTTAAATATATAACTGTTAATCTACGGTTTAAAATATATAAATGGACATGTACGATAATAAGGTGAAATAACGACTAATTTAGAATATGCACTGGTCCTTTTTTAATTTAAAAATAATAACTGAACAATCAAGTAACAGATTATCCATGCCTAGCGGTTTTGCCCATGTTAAATTTCGACTACATATGCCTGTATCTATATATGATTAGTATATCAGTTATAGCATGATATCGATAACGCAAGATATAGTAGTCCGAAAGATAGAAAAATAATCTCTTTTTAAATGGATCCCAATAGACTTGAAAGATTATTTCTGCGCTTATCGGAAAATTTTATGTTTACAAAAACGTACTTATGTATGTGTATTATTACGAAACTAAAAATTTTTCTTTGATAAATGTTATAATAATTAACAATAAAATAAAATAGCATAATTTAATTTTCTGATTGTTATTATTATCAGTTCACGTTATTTCCTTAACATGTCGGCTTATTCTTGATCCTTCATCGGACTGAGATAATATAATGTACCACTAATGTTCTTCCATGTCTTCTGCTAGTTCTTGATCCTCGCCGCCGCAGTGGCCTGCGCCAACGCCGGCTACCTGGGAGCCCCCCTGGCCACCACCTACGCCGCCCCCGCCTACGCCGCCTACGGACACGCCGCCGTCGCCCCAGCAGCCATCACCTCCCAGTCCTCCAACATCCTGAGGAGCTACGGTAACCTCGGCCAGGTGTCCACCTACAGCAAGACCATCGACACCCCATACAGCAGCGTCACCAAGTCCGACGTCAGGGTCTCCAACCCCGGAGTCAGGACCCTCGCCCCCGCCGCTTACGCTCCAGCTTACGCTGCCGCCCCAGTCGCCGCATACGCCGCAGCTCCAGCTTACGCCGCAAGGGCCTACGCCGCACCAGCCCTCGCCGCCCCAGCTTACGCCGCAAGGGCATACGCCGCCCCAGCCGTCACCGCCCACGGCCTCCTCGGAGTAGCCTACTCCGCCGCCCCCGCCGTCGCCCACGTCTCCTACGACAGCCCCATCGTCCACTACGCTCTCTAAGTCCTTCGCCCCATCCTCAATAATCTCATCCGTCTTCCATTCCTCTTACAGAGGCCGCGTTCATCTTTAGTATGATAATTAAATTATTATCTTATTTATTACAATAGAATGCAATAAAACTTGTACTGCATACTGTTGATTACTTTAGAAATCCTTTTTCCATAGGATAGTATGTTATGACAATACTTAAAGCTGAATATTGCTCCTTCAAAGTTCGAGCTCCTTCATAACCTAGAGCAGCAGCGAAATCAGGTGTTACAACTTTACCAACTGTCGTAACATAACCTAACTTATTTTTCATTGATGAAAAGTTTGGAACGGAGTTTCTAGGCAACAAGGAAAAGTCAGACATGCCACATATATTTATTTTTAAGGTTGGACTTATCCGGTATGTTGAGATTAATTACGGTAATAAGTTTTCAAAAATTTCCTCCAGCCTGATTCCGTTTCAACTGCTTAAATTGTCTATCAAGTAGCAGCACACTTACCACAATAGTCTGCAATAATACTTATATATGACCATTCTTCATTACCTTGCAATTCATCCGGCAACTTTCTTTTTATTCAGTAACAAACTGTATCCAAAATATCAAGTAATAAAACTGAAAAATAGTTGTAACAGTGTTTTTACTTTACAGCTAACATAATCGATGATTTATAATATGAATGAAGAAACAAGATAATAATCTTTGGATAATATGTGAAATGTGAGTGTTAAAGTATTAATTGCAGGTTTCGGGTGACTATCCGTTTACTTCTTATAGCGTTTTAGCATTGCAACTTTGCCATCCCTCCCTCTACAACCCAACTTACTAATAATAATAATAATAATCTTTTAATTATTCTGGGACGAATTCCTTTAGAATAATGGATTACATGAATTTTGAAAGTTAACTAATTGATATAATAGAGAAGAAATAAAATAAAATTATCTTCTAGATTATCAATTAAGAAAAAAAAAATAAATGAAAGAAAATGAGATTAAAATAAACTAATAATATATATACATATTTACAGAAGTTTCTATTTACAATTTTAGAGGGACTGGATGGAAAGAAACTGATTGAATAGGTGGGATTTAAAAGTCGGGAGAGTATTGGAGCGACGGATGTCGGGAGGGATGGAGTTCCATAGGGATGAGGATCGAATAAAAGATTTATTCGATTAAGGAGCTCGGAGATGTACGAAGGACTGCGGGATTAACTGATGAAAGTTCTGGAAAGGGGTTTCTAGGTAGTAATGGAAGGTGGCAATAGCCGTTTATTTTGAAGGCTGGACTGATCCGGCCGTAGTTATTATAAATTACCCTAATATATGAAAACGATAAACATTTACACCAGCCTATTGTTGTGTCAGTCCTGCTATAACTATATTAAGAATATTCATCAGTGTTATAATGTTAAAAAAATTATCTAGTTAATTTCTGACACTTGTTGCGAATGAATAATGATAAGTCAAAATAATCTTATCCTCCTAAATCTATAGCTAAAACAGGATCAGACGGAAAATAATTTTCAACAGTCGACAGATCTATTATATCCCGATTCCATAATAACCAGGGGCTCTAGAGTAAGGATGTGATAACGATTGCCCAATATCGATATTAATATTGGCCTGTAACTATCATTACCATTTGGTAATGGTACATTATAATAATGGTAATGGTAATGGTACATGTCCGATATGGTTATCGGACATGAAATATCTCTAGCTGATATTTCCATCGATATATACAATCTGACATTGTTGGAAAATAAAAATAATTCTATTCTCTTTGGCGAGTCAGTTTTAATAGATTACTATACAGGTTATACATCTTAGGAAATAAAGTTTAGTTGGCTTATTCAGAACTAAGGATAAAAAACTTAGTCGTCACTCCTAGACATTTGTATTCATGTCTAGGAGTGTACATCATATCTCTATGCATTTAATTTTAATTTTTATTATTTTATGAAATGTCTCTTCATTCTTAAGGGATATATAAAGTTTACTTTTTAAAGTTCGTTTTTGTCTCAGCTTCAATAATTTAGAATAAGTTAAGAATAACACGCAGCAACACCGTTCAAATTACACAGCTTTATACTTTTTTTTTTTAAGCAGGCTTAGTAGTTTTTTGATGACTATACCTCCATCATTTCGTGTTAAAAATGAAAATATTTTTCGAGAATGTTAACAACTTTATAGTTTAAAATAATTTTAAAATAATTTAACACAGGAAAATCTTTTTTTTTTTCCAATCGATCCCTCATATGATGTGCTTAGAGGTGTGGTATACATATTGCAGTTCTCTTTATAGGAACTATAGGTGATGTATGTAATATAGGTAATGTAGAATGGCCATATAGTCGGCTATATAAGTTTTATTTAAAATTTATTTTATTAAAATTTGCTGCTACTTGCTGGATTACTGGAGCAGTTGAGAAGCAAGAAATCAAGCGTGTGGACATTTCTTTAAAATTATTATCGTAATTAGTCTCAACATATCTGATCAGTCTCACCTTAAAAACTAATATATGTGACATCTTTGATTTTTCTTTAAGGCACATAAATGACGTTTCAAACTTTTCATCAGTGAAACGTACAGGCTGTGGTATTACTCATGTCATGTCTGCTACTATATCGTTGATACAAATGCTAACTATCTGAAAATCATCACTCAAATATCATCAATTCAGTACAAACAGGGAGGATGTTTTAATTTCTACTCTATGAATGTTTGAAGGTTTTGTATTCGTTCTTTAAGAGTGCAGGATTGAAAAAGTTTCATATTCGATAGTTAGCCTTTGTATTGTCAATATGTAAACAGATAGACGTTTTGAAGAATTAGTTTTAAGCAACCTCATTCAGCTTTAAACATTTCCATAAAGTGAGGTGGCATACATGTTATCCTAAGGAATAAGGTTTCTAAAATAATCAACTGTTTGCTGTACATGTTTTATTGCAATGCTAAAACGCTATAAGAAGTAAACGGATAGTCACCCGAAACCTGCAATTAATACTTTAACACTCACATTTCACATATTATCCAAAGATTAGTATCTTGTCTCTTGATTCACACCATAAATCAGGGGCTATCGTAGCTGTAAAGAAGGTTATTAGTCACTATTAAAACTATTTTTTTTTCAGTTTTATTACTTGATATTTTGGATCCATTTTGTTACTGAATAAAAGGAAAGTTGCCGGATGAATTGCAAGGTAATGAAGAATGGTCATAAATAAATTTTATTGCAGATTATTGTGGTAAGTGTGCTGCTACATGCTGGACAACTGCTATGGAATCCAGGCGGGTGGACATTTTTTTAATCTTATTATCGTAATTACTCTCAACATGTCGGATAAGTCCAACTTTAAAAATTAATATATGTGGCATGTCCGATTTTCGTTGTTGCTTAGAAACCCCGTTCCAAACTTTTCATCAATGAAAAATAAGTTAGGTTATAGTGCGTCAGTAGGTAAAGTTGTAACACCAGACCCCCCAGATTTCGCCGCTGCTACTATAGGTAAACAGATAATCACTTTGAAGGAGCAATTCAAGTTTTTATGAACTCATTCATCTTTAAGTATTGTCATAACATACTATCCTAAGGCAAAAGGATTTGTAAAGTAATCAACAGTATGCAGTACAAGTTTTTATTGCATTCTATTGTAATAAATAAGATAATAATTTAATTATCATACTAAAGATGAACGCGGCCTCTGTAAGAGGAATGGAAGACGGATGAGATTATTGACGATGGGGCGAAGGACTTAGAGAGCGTAGTGGACGATGGGGCTGTCGTAGGAGACGTGGGCGACAGCGGGGGCGGCGGAGTAGGCTACTCCGAGGAGGCCGTGAGCGGCGACGGCTGGGGCGGCGAGGGCTGGTGCGGCGTAGGCCCTTGCGGCGTAAGCTGGAGCTGCGGCATAAGTGGCGACTGGTGCGGCGTGGTAAGCGGCGACTGGGGCGGCAGCGTAAGCTGGAGCGTAAGCGGCGGGGGCGAGGGTCCTGACTCCGGGGTTGGAGACCCTGACGTCGGACTTGGTGACGCTGCTGTATGGGGTGTCGATGGTCTTGCTGTAGGTGGACACCTGGCCGAGGTTACCGTAGCTCCTCAGGATGTTGGAGGACTGGGAGGTGATGGCTGCTGGGGCGACGGCGGCGTGTCCGTAGGCGGCGTAGGCGGGGGCGGCGTAGGTGGTGGCCAGGGGGGCTCCCAGGTAGCCGGCGTTGGCGCAGGCCACTGCGGCGGCGAGGATCAAGAACTAGCGATGACATGGAAGAACATTAGTGGTACATTATATTTAAGTTGACTCATGATAGTAGTAAGTTAAGTTACAAGTAAAGATGTGGTGTTTCTGGCCATAAACATAAAGGAAAAAAAAAAAAAATATATATATATATATATATAATATATATATATATATATATATATATATATATATATATATATATATATGGCTTTAAGGGCGCATGAAGCGTTTTATTGTTAGAATAACATTCAGGTGATTGAAAGTATAACTATGAATCCAATGAAGATAAATAAAAAATATTTAGATAGTTTTAAAATAATATCCCAGCCTAAGCTTTGCCTTGAAAGTGTTTTTAACTTTTTATCCTAAATTATTTGAAATTTCGATCGATATATTTTTACATTTAAATAGTCTATGAAAAAAGTAGTGCAACTAACAAAATATCTTTTGGAAATTATTTAACTTTTATCTAAACATTTCCTTCAACTTAAAAAAAAAAACAACACACACACACACACACACACATATATATAATATAATTTAAAGGATATGTACATAGCTACCAAGATAATTTAGGCTTCCTTAACAAATGTATTCTATGTTATGAAAGGTTTTATAAACACATTATAGGATAATAAAATTCTGTTATTGGTTTTGGTTCAGGACTACTTCGTTGTAAACTTATAAACTTTTAAAACGAATTTTCGAACAACATATTCGTAATGTTTATTTTTGTTTTTAGTATAAATCTTTCAGGCATAACGAGGCTTATAAACGACATGTACAAGACTGACATGCTTATTTAGAAGCGACTAAAAAGGAGTTTGTAAATATTGTAATTAAGTATGAATGTTTTTCTTTTTTATATATTTATTTGTTTTACTTATGACTTATTTAATTTGCTACCAATTTCTGTATTTTTTTTTTATACTGGATTTTAAGTTACATTTCTTTGGTTTTATATTTTTAACCTTTGTTATACAGCTATATATTTTTATTTTTTATTTTTTTATTTTTTTTTATTTTTTTTTATTGTACTGTATATATAGTTTGAACGGGCCTCACTCAACCTTAGTACTCAGTGCTCTTAAATGTGGCAAAATGTATTATTTCTCAATAAAAATATTTAAAAAAAAAAGGAGTTAGATGAGAGATCTCCATTTCTGAATATACTTCCCGAAGCCTAACATACCATAAAAAATATTATTATCGCCATATTTTCTTATTTCATTCTTTAAGAAAACTACAAGTTATAGATCATAAACAGTCACAACGCTGTAATTTAAAATCTCTGGATTCATTCACAAGGATTTAAGTAAATATTATTTTTTATAAAGTTTCATTAATTTGTTACAAGATGGATCAAAAAATCATATTTATTATTATAAAAACAATAAAGTTTGTCTAATTTCTTACAATTGGCAAGAGCAACAATAATTTTATTTTTATATTTCCTTTCTGGAATTTTTTCAAATTTTAAAAAGTTTATTTTAATGTAATTGTTCATATAGTAAGTGATTATGAAGTATTTTATTTTTTAAAAAACTAGTTTCTGAATAAAAAAAAGTTCTCTTGAAATAAATTTTCCATTTTTTTTTTTTAATAAATGAAAAGAACTTATAATAATGAATACCTGGATATGTACGTTTAAGTTAACCCTATTTTTTTTTTTTCACAGAATATTTATGGGATTAAACGATATTTTGATTAATAAATACAAAAATTACTAGTAGGTAGTACATACCTTGTACATGTTGATGTTGATTTGTGGTGTATCGGTGTCGATATGGTGTTGATTGCCGACCGGCCGCTTATATACCAAAGTCTTTCGAAATTCTACCCTTGGCGATCGCTCCCCACCCAGCTGACCTCGCCTTTTGGAATACCCTGGAAAATTTTTCCTCTTCATTTTGGATAATTTACGAGGCTATAATAATTGAATATTAAATAAGGATCTAATAGTATACGTGGAAAGTATTAATCTAAATCTAAACAACTTTGATGAAGAGCGATCTAAAAATAAATACGTGTAGAGTAAAATACGTTGTCAATAGCGAACACGGCGAATTCGTAATATAGATGCGTCATTTCTAGAATGAATGTACCAACTGCGTATTTACTATTAATTTTTCGTGATATTTTTTTTCCTTGTTCTTTAGGCTATACTGATTTTTCCCTGGTCAAGGGATGGGGGCAAGAGGTTAATACCACAGTTAAAAACCCCTTGGGTACCGGGACGTGAACTCGTAATCATTTGCAGCTAATTATTTTTGATTCGGGTTGCCGAGCAACGCTCGGTGCTGGGCACAACCCTAAAATTTGATGTGAAAAATTAAACTTAACTAATTCGACTCTCAAAATTAAACTTAAAACGAAAACTGAGCACTTACAATTATCTTCTTAAGGCCAAATGGACCTACGCTTCACAAATTTACGGAACAGCCAATACGAAAACTACAAACTTTTCAGTCTAAAACTTTCAGAACGATAACTAAAGCTCCATGGTACGTCACAAACATTACATTACATAAAGACCTTCAAATGCCAACAGTTAACGATCACATACGGACACACTACAAGCGATTCCACAATAACTTACATGGACATACTAACACACTTATACAAGGTATGGCTACATTTAACATGCCCGAAAACACACTTAGGAGGCTCAAAAGGAGCTGGATGAGGGACTTCCTCGCTTAAAAATATGTTAAAATCAAGACAGGAAGGGATGCCGCTGGGCACTCCTCTTCCTCACGCCCATCAAGCCACTACCTCTACACTTACCGACAGTAGACCCGCTAATTGTCATTGCTTATGACAGGTGTGGGTGAAGAAATAAAGTTAAAAAAAAATAATTAATTCGATGTCTTGTAGCACCACAGGCGGATCTACGAGAAGGGGACTTTTTGGGTTGGTCTCCTCCCCAAATTGGTAAAATATAATTTTATGTCTTATAACAACATTTTTTTTTTATATTTAACTTATTTATTGAAAAATATTACAATCCATCTTAAAGGACTTTTATAATAGTGTTCAGAGATCAGATGTGAACTCTATGTACGATAAATAAAATAAATTATACAGAAAAATAATATATATACAATAAATAAGAATAAAATAGCCTATAAATAAATAAATAAATAGAACACATACATACCTATATACACTATTCAAAATCTGGCGAGAGAACTCCAAGCCAGAATTGTCCTTCGACTGTGGAGGGAAAAGCATAAAATAACAAAATATTAAAAAATTATCTGTAAAAGTATTATTTTTCGTGAATTTTCTTTAATAGAACTTTAACAATTTTTCATATAGGTTGTTAGTTTCTTTCTTTTTCTTCCAAAGTAATTATCGTTGTATATTGAAAAAAAAAAGCTTTCGGGCTGATGCTCCCCTAAAATAAAACCCTGGATCCACTAGCAGCACCCAAGACATCGATTATAAGGAATATTCCTAAATTTTTGCTATCAAGTTATCCCTTAAGTAATATCGGTTTTTAAAATTCTGTTTGTTTATGTGGATATAACTAGTCCTTCTTTTACAATTGAATTGTGGTTAAATATTCTGTAAAAAAAAAAATACAATTTTTGGAGAAGGGGAATGCGATTTATGCGATTTATTTGCGAGACTTTTTATTTAGAGCCGTTTCCAATAATGTTTGGAATATTAACCAGATATTTAAATATTTTACCGCTTTTCCTTGCCTATTATTGATTTGAAGCCCTCTACTTTGTCTTATATATATGAAATTTCCCTAAAAAATAGAGAAAAATATATTTGTTCTCTTTGTAGCCTTCATTCATACCTGTTATAGATCTGACAATGAGTAAATATATCGAATTTGGATTTGGCATTTCAGATACGAAATAGTGGTACTCAGCAGCACCCCGTCATTGTTTAATTCCTTAATTTTGGAAAAGAAATCCCTCATCCAGCTTCTTTTCATTTTCCTTTTGATAGAAATGCCAATCCCCGTCATGTCGTTTATAAATTTGTTGTTATATTCGAGAAATTTATAATGGAGTAATGGAATATAAAGATATAGAATGGAAAAATATTACTTATATGTTTGCCGATAGTTGGTTGTTGTAAGTGGATATGTAAAGTTTTGTTTTTTACGTACAAAGGAGTGTTTGGTATAAAAATAGTCTCAAAAATTGGGATTGGAAAGCTTGTGGTTTTTGTTAGTTCGTACTTTTTTGCTGAACGATAAATCTAAGAGGCGTATGTTCAATTGAGTTTTAGTCAGTACGTGTATGTATTTTGTGTAGTTTTCAGTTTTGTTGATTTAAAAAAAAATTGTAAATTTTTACACAATGGTTTATTATTTTCAAACTGTTATATAACAAATGTAACATTGCTTTCTTTGCCACATTGAGAAAAATAAGTAAAAGATGATTCCTAATTTTGGCTTAAATATATATATATATATATATATATATATATATAAACTATGCTTTGAAGCAGATGTGTGGAAAATATTTAAAACAACATATCTTTAAAATATTAAAGCAACAAATTGTTCGATTTCAATATTTCCTTTTTTTTTTTTTTTTTTTTAGGAAGTTTCGTAAATTTTCCACAAAAACAGTGTTTACTTTTTTGAGTTATTGGGAAATCTAATTTTATAACCCCTCGTAACTTTTTTCCATTTTTTTTTTAGGTGAAGTATGTTATTTAGTTATATTTAAAGGGCTTCGAAGTAGATTGGTTTAGAGCTATAGTCTATAGCGATACAGGTTTTCCTAGCGCCATCTTAAAAGTATATGGGCGGATAGTAATGCCGATTACCGAGGAGGATTGATACCAAATCTCAAAATAATTGCGGAAAAACGCGGAACATAGCGGATGGACGATTTTTGTTTGTATTATATTATCGAATTCTACTTATCTTGAAACGTAAAATATCAAATTTCGAGAGGTGTTAACTTATTTTTCCTTGTTCAATTACAAAGAATGATTATTTAAAATAATAAACCAAAAAGGGAATAAAGTAATTTCAGTCGTTGGTTTAAAGTCGCTCCAAGTCATCCTTCTGCTGAACCTAGTGCAAGGCAAAGTAATATGTCCATTTGTTAGACACGGATATCTCTCGTTGGTTGGTATCATCGAAGTACAAATGTCATGCACTGTAATTGATTTGATTTAATTAAATTTTACATAGTGAGTACCATTTTCGTGATTGTAATAAATGACTTAGTGAATTTATTGGGGACTTTAAAAAATAATGGTCCGTGTGGGAGAAAATAGTCCATAAAGTCGGCTTTGTGGTTCTTTCCAACCCTTGACTGCTGCTTTAAGGTTGCAGCCACATATTTACCAGAGTAGAAGGGTAAAGATTTATTTTTTGAGACCGCCAGGAAAATAAATATAAACCGACCGGGATTCGAACGCACGACATTTGAAACCGGGCAGTCAGGGACCCATGCTCCAACGTGCTTTGCCAAAACATCCTCCATATATGGAGTAGTGGTCTTCAGTTATCGAAAATCTGAGTAACTTTCAGAAATATTCCTTCTGTGTATTGTTTTTGATACAGTACTCCAGAAATGTAACAGTGACTATGTGCAATTGTTGTGTTTATAGTCCGTCAAATTATTAATATCCGCCTAAATCATCACAAATCTTCATCTCATCGTAACCTACAAATATTTTATTTACGAGAATTCTCATTTTTAACGGAGCTAAAGCTTAAAGCTTAGAGATAACAAGTCATTAAGACCATTATAAAAATCAATTCACTATATCTGATTTTATAAACCACAGAATGACTAACTCCAATTTCAACATTTTTGAGTGATGTTATTTTAGTGATATTTTTAGTTGAAAGGTTATCTATGCAGACAATGAGTAAGTTGATTCCAGATGTGGTGATTGCAGTGTTGAAATATAGAACTATGAATAAGGGTACAAATTTAGGTACTACTTTATTATGAAAGATGTTCTTAGGAAAGGCACTTTATTAAATATCTGTAGAAAAACGGTTTTTTAGTCTCAACAATAAAAAAAAATTTATTTTAAATTTATCCAAATTTTCACCTCTTTAGGGAGAAAAAGTAGAGACCATATCTTTCCTCCTAATTGCCCGATTTTAAGGATTTTTTTTTTGTTTTTTTAGGAAATTCTATAAACTTTTAAAAAACCAAGTGTACACTTTTTGAGTTATTCAGAATTTAATTTTACGATCCCTCGTAACTTTTTTTCCAGCTTCTTTTCGTTGAAGTATGTTATACAGATAAATTTAAAGAGTATCGAGAACATGACTTTAGCGAAGTTTCATTGAAATCGGTACATTCGTTTAGGCGCTACAGTCTGTAGGAACGCAGATTTTTCTGCATTATTATTTTTTTCTCCTTTATTAATTTATCGAATTCTTTCAAAAGTTATATGTAGCATTTTTTCGTAACTCTGAATAATGTGAAATGGTTAACTTTTTAAAATAAACCATATTAAAGGTACTTTAGAGGAAGACATATATGAACATTGGGCATTTAAGCCCTTTAAAGTAACATCAACGGGGATAAGTCCTAAATGATACTAAAGAGCACCTTAATTATACAATGATACACCGAGTTTGATCCAAATCGTTAGAGTCCTTTTTGAGAAAATTGTAAAAATGTGTTTCAGCGTTCATATAAAGTGGCACTTCCGGTCAGCCGATTTTAACGAAAACGTTGCCGCCACATCCGGCCCGTATACAAACCTTAAATACTTAATATCAGTTTCGTACTACTTTTCATTTATGAGCTAGACTGTTAACACACAGACAGACAGACAGACACACACACACACACACACACACACACACACACACACACACACACCATTTTGCGACACTTGGTTATTTGAACTCAAAACATGTATTTCCGTTGAAAACTGAGATTCAAAAATTTTCGTACGATT